CTTCATTCTCATTGGTTTTGAAGAACATCTTTATGTCTACCTTCATTTCACTGTTTATCCAGTCAACATTCAAGAGCCAGTTGTTCAATTTCCGAAGTTGTACAGTTCTGAGTTATTTTCTTATTCCTGAGTTCTAATTTGATTGCACTGTGGTCTGAGAGACTGTTTGTTATGATTTCCCTTCTTTTCTATTTGCTGAGTAGTGATTTACTTCCAATTATGTGGACAATTTTAGAGTAGGTGTGATGTGGTGGTGCTGAGAAGAATGTATATTCTGTGGATTCGGGGTGGAGAGTTCTGTAGATGCCTATTAGCTTTGCTTGGTCCAGATCTGAGTTCAAGTCCTAGATATCCTTTTTAATTTTCTGTCTCATTGATATGTCTAATATTGACAATGGAGTGTTAAAGTCTCCCACTGTTATTGTATGGGGGGTCCAAGTCTCTTTGTAGGTCATTAAGAACTTGCTTTAGCTGCTATATTGGGTGCATATATATTTAGGATCGTTAGCTCTTCTTGTTATATTGATCCTTTTACCATTATGTAATGTCCTGCTTTGTCTCTTTTGATCTTTGTTGCTTTAAAGTCTATTTTATCAGAGACTAGGATTGCAACTTCTGCTTTTTCTTTTTCTTTTTTTTTTTTTTTTTCTGCTCTCTGTTTGCTCGATAAATCTTCCTCCATTTCTTTTGAGCTTATGTGTGTCCTTGCACATGAGATGGATTTCCTGGATACAACACACCAATGGTTTTTGACTTTTTATCCAATTTTCAAGTCTGTGTCTTTTGACTGGGGCAGTTAGCCCATTTACATTTAAGGTTATTATTGTTATGTGTGAATTTGATTCTTCCATTTTGATGCTAGCTGGTTTTCTTGCTGTTAGTTCATGCAGTTTGTTCATTGTGTCAATGCTCTTCACCATTTGGTATATTTTTGGAGTGACTGGTACTGGTTATTCCTTTCTATGTTTAGTGCTTCTTTCAGGAGATCTTGTAAGGCAGGCCTGGTGGTGATGAAATCTCTCAGCAATCGCTTGTATGTAAAGGATTTTATTTCTCCTTCACTTATGAAGCTTAGTTTGGCTGGATATGAAATTCTAGGTTGAAAGTTCTTTTCTTTAAGGATGTTGAATATTGGCCCCCACTCTCTTCTGGCTTGTAGGATTTCTGCTGAGAGATCTGCTGTAAAGCTGATGGGCTTCCCTTTGTGGGTAACCCGCCCTTTCTCTCTGGCTGCCCTTTGCCCTTTTTCCTTCATTTCAACCCTGGTGAATCTGATGATTATGTGCCTTGGCATTGCTTTTCTTGAGGAATATCTTTGCTGTGTTCTCTGTATTTCCTGGACTTGACTATTGGCCTGTCTTGTTAGGTTGGGGAAATTCTCCTGGATAATATCCTGAAGAGTGTTTTCCAGCTTGGATTCCTTCTCTCCATCATATTCAGGTACACCTGTCAAACAAAGATTAGGTCTTTTCATATAATCCCATACTTCTTGGAGGCTTTGTTCATTTCTTTTTACTCTTCTTTCTCTAATCTTGCCTTCTCATTTTATTTCATTGAGTAGATCTTCAAACTCTGATATCCTTTCTTCTGCTTTGTCAATTTGGCTATTGAAACTTGTGTATGTTTTGCAAAGTTCTCTTGTGTTTTCAGCTCCATCAGGTCATTTATATTCTTCTCTAAGCTGTTTATTCTCATTACCATTTTATCTAGCCTATTTTCAAGGTTCTTAGTTTCTTTGCATTGGGTTAGAACATGTTCTTTTAGCTCAGGGAAGTTTGTTATTATCCACATTCTGAAGCTTGTTTCTGTTAATTCATCAGACTCATTTTCCATCCAGCTTTGTTCTCTTGCTGGTGAGGAGTTGTGATCCCTTGGAGGATGAGAGGATTTCTGGTTTTGGGTATTTTCATCCTTTTTGTGCTTTTTTTCCCCATCTTAGTGGATTTATCTCCCTGTAGTCTTTGTAGTTGGTGACTTTCAGATGAGTTCTCTGAGTGGAGGTCTTTTTGTTGCTGTTGAAGTTATTTCTTTCTGTTTTTTGGTTCTCCTTGTAATAGGCCCCTCTGCTGTAGGACTGCTGGAGGTCCTCTCCAGACCCTGCTTGCCTGGGGATCACCCACAGTGGCTGCAGAACAGTAAGGGTTTATGCCAGTTTCTGTTTCTGTTATCTTCATCCCAGAAAGATACCCACCAGATGTCAGCCTGAGCTCTCCTTTATGAGGTGTTTCTTTGGATATAAGGGGGTTGGGGGAGGTGCTTGAGGAGACAGTCTGTCCCTTATAGGAGCTCAAGTGCTGAGCTGTGAGCTCCATTGTTCCATTCAGAGCTGCTGGGCAGATCTGTTTAAGTCCGCTTCAGCAGAACTCATAACCACCTTTTTTCTCATGTTCCCTGTCCTGGGAAGGTGGGGCTTTATTTATAAGCTCCTGATGTGCTGCTGCCTTTTTTCATAGATGCCCTGCCCAGCAAGGAGGTCGCCTAATCACAGTCTGCCAGCAGAGGCATTGCTGAGCTGCCATGGGATCTGCTCAGCTGCCATGTGAACTTCCTTGTGGTTTTGTTGATAGAGGTATAGTTAGAATTGCCTCAGTAATGACAGTCTGCCTCAGTAATGGTGGACTGCCTCGGTAGTGGGGGACTGCCACAGTAATGGTGGACACTATTCCCCCTACAGAGCTAGATCGTCCCAGGTCCAGCTGAGCTTGCTGTGAAACTCTCAATCCACAGCATTTCAGATTGCTGGTCTTTGTGGGGGTGGGACCCACTGAGCCACATCACCTGGCTCCCTGTTGCAGCCCACTCTTTTTCAGTTGAATGGGCAGCTCCGTCTATCAGGTGTTCCAGGTGCCAGTTGAAATGGCCACCCAGATTTGTGTGAATATTTGTGTGGAAATCCACTGCACCAGCTGAAACAGCCATGCTGGAAACTGTGACGCTTTTCAGCCCAGGAATCTCCTGGTCTGTGGGCAGTAATAACTCATTTAGAAATGTGGGGATCACTCACCCTCTGCATTGTTCTCGCTGGGGACTGCACTCCAGAGTTGTTTCTATTCTGTCATCCCTCACAATTGTTATTTTTTAACTGAAATTTCCCAATTTAAAATTATCTTTATGCTCTTAGATTTTTACAAGTAGGGGATTACTTCAAAAATTATCTGTTATTGTCCATAAGGTACATAGTTTGATTTTATTTTAAGGAGCATGTTGCAGTGCTAAAAATATGACATTTGGCTGGGCATGATGGCTCACGCCTGTTATCCCATCAGTCTGGGAGGCCAAGATAGATGGATCACCTGAGGTCAGGAGTACAAGACCAGCCTGACCAATGTGACAATACCCTGTATTTACTAAAATACAAAAATTAGCCAGGCATGGTGGCCCACACATGTAGTCCCATCTAATCTGGGAGGCTGAGGCAGGATAATCGCTTGAACCCAGTGAGGGCAGAGGTATCAGTGAGCCGAGATTGTGTCAGTGCACTACAGCCTGAACAACAAAGCAAGATTCCACCACATAAATAAATAAATACATAAATATATACAGATACATATATGTGTGTATATATGTATATATATATATATATATATTCTCCAAATTTTGATAGATATAAAATCCAGAATTTGTCTTTTATTTCAGAAGCTTGTGTGTTGTGTCAGCACATAGAACTAGATCAGCAGACCAACTTAAATGAAACCAAAAAAACTAATTATCTGAATTATACTTTGCTGACTTCTAAAAACTATTTCATGTCCTACACTCAATAATTTTCATGTAACAAAATAAACAAATGTAAATAAATTACCTAGTCTGTTTATTCATATCCTTAGGAGATGAATGTAAGCAGATCTAAAGTTTTACTTAACTTTGAATGTATTTTTTTATAAAATAAGTGAATTGTGAATAGGCTGTTTGAAGTAAGCCTTATAAATCACCTGAACTGTTCTACTATTGGCATGTCTTGGAGTCATTATGTATAATTGGTTAATGGTATATTTATTCTCACATTATTGGATCAGCTCCAGGGATAATCACTGATGAGTTTCAAAACTCCAGGAGGATTTCTATGCAGAGGTAAATGAATTAAAACACAAGATAAAACTAATTACTTTTATTTAAATTCAATTTTGGGGTTACTTGTTCTGTCTTGGGGGTTTTCCAGCAGTTTTCAGAAGTGATAAATTTTCTTTAGTTTGCTAAGTTTCATTTCCTTAGAGCTAAGAGATTAAATCATTGGGATGAATATTAGAAAGGAAGTAATTTAAACTAAATTTTGTGGTAGAATTTCCCACCTTAGTTCTTCATGCTTTCTTTTTGATGTTTCTCTTAACTAGGCATTTGAAAACTTGATAAATAAAAAAAAAAGAACCAGTTTCAATGCTAAAATTACTTAAAGCTGTTAGGAGTTCCAGAAATTAAACACCATAATCAAAAAAGACTCACATATACTTTACTGAAAGCTTCTATAGGACTGGACGGGACTCAGAGAATGTGAGTCATGAAGAGCTATAATTTTCATGTAAAGCAACTGGATGTAGTTAAGTAATAAAAATTTAAGGTTCTTTCTCTCCATATGCTTGGCTGTGTTTGAATATTTTTTAAATGTCTGATATTATACATACACAACTTATTTCCTTTGACATGAGGCTATGTTGCCATGAAAGCGGGAATATCACTGAGATAGGTGTATAAATTAAGAATTACACTTAAGGCATGCTTCTTGAGATAAATAGGACCTTTCATTAAATATGACTTGGGTTAAGAAAAGGGGTGCAGTGAGTAATTAATTGCATAAAGTAGTGGTGAATGTGTCAATTAAAATTAGATTTTGCTACATGTAAAGAGCTATCTAATTAAATGTCATTGAATGAGAAGTGAGTTCTCTCATGAAACAAGTCTGCAGCATGGTATTGCCAAATTGGTGTGATTGCTCTATCATCATTAGGCATAAAGGATCCTTCTATTTTCTCTCTTTTTTTCTTCATCTCACTTACCTACTGAAGCAATGAATATCACTGACTAAATGGATGGAGGAGAAGAAAGATGATGACAAAGAACCAGTAATGCAAATTCAACTATCCCTGTGTTATAGAAGCCAGAAAAACTTAAACTGCCAGATCTCAAGAAGCTTAGCAAAAAGTCAGAGTAAGTTCTAACTGGTGAACTAAAGAGAGATTTTTTAGAACCTCAAGAAGCTCTGGGCGCCTGGAGAATTCAATGTCAGCAGAACTCAGATGAATTCTGAATTATCTAACTTCTAATTTCTTCATCACTGTAAAATAAAAGTTTACATTTCATTGTCATTAGTGTTTAGGAGCTACCTAGTGGCTCTGTACCCTGATGTGTACTATAAGCTGCTCGTTGAATAGAAAATTACAGCAAAATGGCATTCAGTTTTCTAAAAAAAAAAAAAAAAAAAAATGCTGTCTTGAGATCATATCACTGCTAAATAATGAAAATTGTTTGATTTTTCTTTCTGTCAAAAATATTTAAAGCCAATGAAATACATATTTTTTAAATGTGTGTACCATATGAGGATGACTTAACAGCATGCCGTCTTTAAAAAGCCCAAACGTGAAAATCAGATATAGTTCAGAGATGTAACTTCAAGAATGTTACAGCTCTTTGAATCCTATGTAAATTGCTCTTCTCTCTTTATGATTTCAGTAGAGAGTTTTTGTTAATAAAAAGCAAATTTTTGACAAGTTACCAGTCCTTGGATCTTTTAGTTTTTTTATTCATGGTCCTACTTTGAGACCTGATGAGCCAAGACTATTATCTACAAGCCTTGCTATCACATATTTTTACATTGGATAGTGGCAGAGAAGTGATTCAGAAGTGGTTCTTGCAGAAATGGGCAGATATTAAAAGGCCATGACCAATCCCTATTCAGATACATTACATGCTTATTATCTATTGAAATCACTGCTGCCCTTCAGGTCAGGGTGATGAGAAGGATGGATTAAAGAGAAGTATATGAAAGCACCAGAACTAGTTTGCCTGTTAATATTCATATTCCCTTAACATAATCTTGGAAAAGAAATGATTGAAACAGATAGTAAGGTATGACAACATTTCATTATTTATTTATTTTTTGAGACGGAGTTTTGCTCTTGTTACCCAGGCTGGAGTGCAATGGCGCGATCTCGGCTCACTGCAACCTCCGCCTCCTGGGTTCAGGCAATTCTCCTGCCTCAGCCTCCTGAGTAGCTGGGATTACAGGCACGCGCCACCATGCCCAGCTAATTTTTTGTATTTTTAGTAGAGGCGGGGTTTCACCAGGTTGACCAAGATGGTCTCGATCTTTGACCTCGTGATCCACCCTCCTTGGCCTCCCAAAGTGCTGGGATTACAGGCTTGAGCCACTGCGGCCGGCCCTAGAATACTCTTTTAAAGACATTGATCTGTGGCATTGAAGTATGTCTCATGAGCTGGATATAGGAATTCGTTATGCTTGTATTTTGAGTTTTAAAAACATTATTCTATTTTTAATTAATTATAAATATTTGCTTAGGCTGGTGATTGTGTACATAACTATACTGGTTTGTGGGATATATAAGAATCTTCAGCTGGGCACAGTGGCTTATACCTGTAATCCCAGCACTTTGGGAAGCCGAGGCAAGTAGATCACAAGGTCAGGAGATCAAGACCATCCTGGATAACATTGTGAAACTCCATCTCTACTAAAAATACAAAAAACTAGCTGGGCTCAGTGGCACGCACCTGTAGTACCAGATACCTGGGAGACTGAGGCAGAATAATCACTTGAACCTGGGAAGTGGAAGTTGCAGTGAGCAGAGATTGTGCCACTGCACTCCAGCCTAGGAAACAGAGTGAGAAACAGTCTCACTCTGTCGCCCAGGCTGCAGTGCAATGGTGTGGTCTCTGCTCACTGCAACCTCTGCCTCCCAGGTTTCAAGTGATTCTCCTGATAAAGCCTCTTGAGTAGCTGGTATTACAGATGCCCACCACCACACCCAGCTAATTTATGTGTTTTTAGTAGAGACAAAGGTTTCACCATGTTGGCCAGGCTGGTCTCTAATTCCTGACTTTGCGATCCATCCACCTGGGCTTCCCAAAGTGCTGGGATTACAGGTGTGAGCTACTGCACCTGGCCAAATCTATGATTTATCAAATGAACACAAGTTTCTATCCAAGCTGTTTGACATACAAGCTAAATGGCCTTTGATAAGTTATTTTACTTCTCTGGATTGTACCCCCATTGGTTAAAATATGACTAATATTTATTTTGATGGATTATTATAGCAATTAAATTAAATTTTGCATGTAAAATAATTATTACAGTGAAACTTAGCTTAATATATAATACTTGCATTTCATGGTTTATTTTTAGTTTTTATGTTAAATTTTTGATAAATTTGGTAGCATTGTCTTCATTGCATTTTGTGCTAGGTTTACGGCATTGCTGGCTTTCCATATATACAGATGCAAAAAAAAACATGTTTTTAAATAAGTGTGTTTATTTTTAATGTCAATTTAAAGAAGTATAATTTGTAAGTAGTAGTATAGAGGAGACATAGATATGGAAAAATATTTTAAACTGGACCCAAGGTTGAGAAAATACCATATTATATGGTGCCAGTTATGCACTTTTCTTCCTTAATAATTCACAGATTTTTTATTGTTGGATTCAGAAAGCATAACTGCAGAATAAGAGTGGTGGAAGGAAAGTGTCATTATTCACTTCATAAGGAGAAAACCCTGGTAAGTGACATATGTATTACTTCTTCAATATACCATTCCTTTCATGGAGTCCTCTGCTAGATGCTAACACTCACCACAAGGCAATGAGGCCATGACAATCTGTACAAATGGAGTCAAATCAGAAACACAGGTGAAGCAGAAATATTCCTGTTTGTCCAGTCTCTCATTAGAGGCATGAAAAAAATCATGTTTTACTAATGAGGTAAAAGCATCAAGATTGATCATTTATTAATGATTAACATGGCATTCCTGTATATACTGAAGGGCATAGTGTCTTTCTCTGACAGGAATGTGTATGGAAGATGGCATCTAAAATATAAACAATGACTTCTGCTTTACAAATTTATTCAGAATCTTTCACAGAGGAGGCATAATGAGGTCAGAGATTAATAGCATTATTGTTTTAAAATGATACTTGTAATATTGGGAGGAAGTTCAAACTGAAAAGAAAAAAAATATTAAAAAGAACAACAGTTGCTTTCTAAGTTGCCAGACATGTTCACATGCAAGGAACAAAGCGAAACAACACAGCACACTTGCAGTAATATTAACTCCTAGCAAACTCAGAAATATGTATATTTCCATCTCTTTCTCCCTCTTTCACATATGCACATACTCACATCCCTGATGCACCAACCCTGAGAAAAGTATTTCAGAAGATGCTCACCAAAGTTCTGTCTACCTGGAAAGTTCCCAAATAGTAACTGTTTTATGGAATTGTCATAGCTGCTGGGTTTCATGAGAATTTTCTCATGTCCTTCTGAAAATAACTGTGGGAAAACAATTCTTGTGACATGCAGTCTGAAATGTTTTTAGTCCTAATTAAAATGATCAACGATTTGTGTGATTTAGAATTCTTAGAAATCTTTGCTTGACAAGTGCTTTAAAAGAAATATATCTTGGGTTTGACACAGTCTATCCATAGGAGATGAAGTTTATAAAATGTTTAATTCATTTTTCTTGATTTACTAGAATAGAATGTTTATGAGAGAATAAAAAATAAAAGAACTTGTGTCAGAAAAATTAGTTATGTCATTAAGAACAGGCCATATTTTATATTTACATGTTTGTGTGTGGCCTTGTTATAGCATAAGCTGTAAAACTAGTTACTGCTCCCAGCAGGGAAGGTCAATTTGCAAATTCACAAATCATTAATGTTGCACTTCTGTTGCATAAGATGTTAATTTGTTGGTTTAAATAAAACCTCTAATCTCAAGTACAGGTGTTGGTGTATGGCAGTATTACCACTCTCAGCAACTGACAGAACATAAAATTTATGAATTATTGAGGTATTTACCCGATAATTCTGCATTAGCAATTATGAAGTATCATGAAATCAGAAGCAGTGCCTTAAATAAGAATGAATGTGGTGACTTTATATTAGACCTCTCAATTAGGTGCTAAACTGATAATACATCATGTGAATTGTTTTCATGTAAATATTAGCCATTATTAAATGCTTCTTTGTGACTTATCTTCTATACCTTTTTGGGGGGCACAGGGTCAGACTTACAATTGTGCAGATACCTTATCATGACTTTACAGATAACCTGACTTATCATCAAGATCACTAACTCGAGGTACCCAGTGTTCACCTACTTCACAAAAAAAGACCAAAACAAGAAAAAAACAATGGCACTTTGAGTAGATACTCTACAAGAAAACACTGAATTGATCAAAGAAGACAGGAAAACCCTCTGAAGCATGGAACCTTGAAATCTCAGCATAGAGAGGTAAGAAAAACACCTGGCCAGGATTGGCTTCAAATGCACAGGTAGCAAAAGCAAAACTAGACAAATTAGATTAAATGAAACTAAAAAGCCTCTGCATAACAAAAAGCTTAGAGTAAAGAGACATCCTGCAGAATGGTGAAAAATATTTGCAAACTATTCATCCAGTAGGATGTTAATATCTAGAATATATTAGGAACTGAAAGAACTCAATAGCAAAATAAAAAAATAAAGAATCTGATTAAATAATAGTCAAATGATCTGAATAGAGATGTCTCAAAAGACGGCACAAATGTCAACAATTATCCAAAAAAGTATGTTTACTATCCCTAATTATAAGAGAAATGCACTGGTCATTAGAGAAATGCAAATCAAAACTACATTGAGATACCATCTCACGCTAGTTAGAATGGTTATCATTAAAAATCTGGAGACAACAGATGCTGGAGAGGATGTGAAGAAATAGGAACACTTTTACACTGCTGGTGGGAGTGTAAATTACCTGAACCATTGTGGAAGACAGTGTGGTGATTTCTCAAGGACCTGGAAATAGAAATTCCATTTGACCCAGCAATCCCATTACTGGGTATATATCCAAAGGACTATAAATCGTTCTACTATAAGGACACATGCACACGAATGTTCATTGCAGCACTGTTTACAATAGCAAAGACCTGGGACCAACCCAAATGCCCATCAATGATAGACTGGACAGGGAAAATATGGCACATATACACCATGGAATATTATGCAACCATCGAAAATGATGAGATCATGTCCTTTGTAGGGACATGGATGAACCTGGAGACTATCATTCTCAGCAAACTGACACAAGAATAGAAAATGAAATACTGCATGTTCTCACTCATATGTGGGTGTTCAACAATGAGAACACATGGACACGGGAGGGGAGACACACTGGGGTCTATTGGGGGGAATAGGGGAGGGATAGTAGGGTGTGGGGAGTTGGGGAGAGATAGCATGGGGATGAATGCCAGATATAGATGAAGGGGAGGAAGGCAGCAAATCACACTGCCATGTGTGTACCTATGCAACTATCTTGCATGTTCTTCACATGTACCCCAAAACCTAAAATGCAATTTAAAAAAAGAGAAATGCAATTCAAAACCATGAAATGTTATTCAGCTTCAGTTGCAATGACTATTATCAAAAGGACAAAAAATAATCAATGCTGTTGAGGATAAGGAGATAAAGAAACTCTTATTCATTGTTGGTGGAAATGTAAATTAATGTAGTCAGTATGGAAAACCATATGAAGCCTGCTCAAAAAATAAGAATAGGCTGGGCACAGTGGCTTATGCCTTTGATCCCAACACTTTGTGAAGTCAAGCGCAGGGGACCACTTGAGGTACAGAGTTCAAGACCAGCCTCATCAACAAGGTGAAACCTTGTCTCTACTAAAAATACAAAAGTTAGATTGGTATGGTGACAGAGGCCTGTAATCCCAGCTACTCAGAAGGCTGAGGCATGAGAATCTCTTGAATTCTTCAGGCAAACTTTCCAGTGAGCTGAGATTTTGCCAACACACTCCAGCCTGAAAAACAGAGACTCTCTCTCAAGAAAAACAAACAAGAAAATTTTAAAACAGAACTACTGTATAATACAGTAATCCTACGACTGGGCAAAAAAGAAAGGAAGTAAGTATGCAAAAGATTTATCTTCATTCTCATATTTATTTCAGCACTATTAATTTTAACCAAGATATGAAATCAATCAAAATTTCCATCAACAGATGAATGAATAAAGCAAATGTGGTAGAAATACACAGTGGAATATGATTCAGCCCTGAAAAAACACCCTGTCATTCATAGCCATATGGCTGAGCCTGGAGGCTAAATGAAGTATGCCAGGTGTGGAAATGATAAATAGCTCTTATTCTCACTCACATGTGGAATATAAAGAGGTAGCTCTCATAGAAGTAGAGAGTAGAATAGTTGTTACTGGGTATGCCAGGCATGAAAATAATAAATAGCCCTTATTCACATTCATATGTGGAATTTAAAGAAGTAGATCTCATAGAAGTAGAGAGTAAAATAGTGGTTACTAGAGGCAGGGACATATAGGGGAAGGGGATTATAGAGAGCTTGGTTAACAGATACAATATTACAACTAGATCAGAGGAATAAGTTCTGGTGTTCTATAGCACTATGGAGTGACTCTAGTTTACAATAATTGACTGTGTATATTAAAATAGCTAAAAGTGAAGGTTTTGTTTATTCCCAACAACAAAAAAATGGTACATACTGGAGGTGATGGATATGCTTACCTTAATTGGATTATTATGCATTGTATATCACACAATATCATTTAAAAATATCACATTCTACCCTATAAATATGTATAATTATTACATGTCAATTAAAACTAATACAAATAACATTTCTAGATGTTTTTAACTTAAAGCATACAGAGTAGATAGTATAAGACTTGGAGTTGTACTCGTGTCCCATGATGTCATTCTTTAATGAACTTCTATCTCACAATTGGTTGTAATATATAAATTAAATAATTTATAGAAAATACTTTATATGTATCAGGAGCAGAGGAGGGAATGATACCAGTAGGTCCCCTTTCATTTTTTAAACAAAGGTCTGGTGTCAGTGTTTTCTCACCCTGCCACTAAGCATAAATAAAGACATGCCTTTCTCCCTCTGCCTCTCTGTCTCCCTTTCTCTCTTTGTAAAGTAAATGTTCCCTGTATTTTTGTGTATGTAGACACGAAAAATGTGCACAAAATTATATGATATATTTCATCTAAATTGTAAAGCCTCTATGATTCTGCTTTCTAATCTGATCACTGGTTGACTTATACCACATTGTCTCTAAAGGCCCTTATAATTCTAAAAGTCTGTTATGGAAACTAGCTGGGAAAATGGTGGATAGGAGGTAGGACTAACTTCCAGCAACCACTCAGTTAAACAGAGCAGTGTGTGGAGACTCACATTGTGAACTTTTGCTCCAAGAACTACTGCAGGAATATACCAGGAAAGCCTAGACAATCTACAGACTCTTTGAAGAAACTAGATCACTGCTGCAGGCTCCATGGGACAGTGGAGGAAGTGTGAATCCACTTGCTTTCTCAGCTGGGAGGCTGGAGCCTGGGGCATGTTCTCAGCCCTGCTCATAAGCTGTCAGTGGGGCAAGGCGAGAATGAGACTAGCCTTTGAGCTGTAGGCTGCATGGGAGCTGGGTTGAGGCCTATGGCTGCCAACTTGCCCCCACTTCCTTGGCAAAAGGTGTGACACAGCATAGACAACCATAATCCCCAAGGAATATAACTCTATTGGCCTGGGAACCACACCTCCATTCCCCACAGCAGCCGCAAAAAGCACGGCTCAAGGAGATCCTGATCTCAGATATGCCTAACCTGGCCCCCACCTGATGGTCTTTTCTACCCACCCTAGTACCCAAAGACAAAGAACATTATCCTTTGGGAGATCTATGGACCTGCCAGTAGAGCTGATCACTCCTATAAAACCACAGTGAATATGCTCTTGAAAATGCCACTTCCTGGCCAAAAAACACAAAACCAGTGTATCGAACAAAAATACAACCAAAGACCTTCCCAGAGTCCACTTTACTCCCCTGCTACCTTCACTGAATCAGGTGCTGGTAACCATGGCTGAGAGACCTGAAGATAGTCTCTTTGCATCATTTCCCAGTACCAGCCTGGAGCCTAGTAGCTTTGCTGGGTGGATAGAACCCCCACAAAAAAATCACTGCAGTTTGTCTCTCAGGAAGCCCCATCTTTTGGGGAAAGGGGAGAAAACCACATCAAGCGAGCGCCCCAGTGGGACAAAAGAATCTGAGCAGCAGCCCTTGAGTCCCAGATTTTTTCTCTGGCATGGTCTACACAAATGAGAAGGAAACAGAAAAGCCATTCTGGTAATCTTATAAAACAGCGTTCTTTAACACCACTAAAAGATTACACTAACTCACCAGCAATGGATCAAAACCAAGACAAAATCTCTGAATTGTAAGAAAATGAAATCAGAAGGTTGACTGTTAAGCCAATCAAGGAGACACCAGAGAATGCTGAAGTCAAACTTAAACAAAAATGATACAGGATATGAATGGAAAATTTTCCAGGGAAATAGATGGCATAAATGAAGAAACAATCGCAACTTCGGGAAATCAAGGACATACTTAGAGAAATGCCAAAGGTACTAGAAAATCTAAGCAATAGACTCAAACAGAAGAGAGAACTTCGGAGCTTAAAGACAAGGCTTTTGAATTAACTTAATCTGACAAAGACAAAGAAAAAAGAATTTAAAAAAAATGAGGAAAGCCTCCAAGAAGTTTGGGATTATACTAAACCATCAAACCTAAGAATAATTGATGTTCCTGAGGAAAAAGAGAAATCTAAAAGTTTGGAAAACATACTTAAGAGAATAATCAAGAAAAACTTCCATGGCATGGTAAGTGATCTAGACATTCAAATACACAAAGCTCAAAGAACACCTGAAAAATTCATCACAAAAACATCATTGCCTAGGCATATAGTCATCATGTTATTTAAAGTCACGATGAAGGAAATATCTTAAGAGCTGTGGGCCAAAGTATTAAGTAACCTATAAAGAAAAATCCAACAGATTAATGGCAGATTTCTCAGTAGAAACCCTACAAGCTAGAAGGGGTTGAGGTCCTACTTTTAGCCTTCTTAAACAAAACAACTATCAGCCAAGAATTTTGTATCCAGCAAAACTAAACTTCATAAATGAAGGAAAGATACCGTCTTTTTCAGACAAATGCTGAGAGAATTCACCACCTCAAAGCCAGCACTACAAGAACTGCTTAAAGAAACACTAAATCTTGAAAAAAAATCCTCAAAATGCACAAAAATAAATCTCCTTAAAGCATAAATTTCACAGGCCCTATAAAAGAATAATGCAATGAAAAAAATTTTTTTTAAGTATTCAGAAAATAAATACCCTATTGAATAAAATAGTATCTCACATCTCAATACTAACATTGAATGTAAA